CCCAAACAGCTGGGGTCTGTGCCTGGGGTGGGGGGAAGGTGTTCCCTGACCGCCATGGCCTATGCCTTGCACGGGGTGGGGGGGTTTCCCTGGCAGTCAGGGCCCATTGCTGGTGTGGGGGAGATGGGGATTTTCCTGACAACCAGGGCCATGTCTGGTGTCAAGGGCTGGGGATCTCCCTGACAAGCTGGGGGCCCGTGCATGGGTTATGGTGGGGGAGTCTGTCTGATAGCTTGGGTCCTTGCCTTGGGATAGTGGGATCCTTGACAGCCTGGGTAGGATCCTTGACAGCCCGGACCTGGGTGGGGGATCCCCGACAGCCAGGACCCGTGTTGTGGTGGGAAGCAGGTGCAGGGGATACCTGACAGCCAGGGCCTATGCCTGGTGGAGGAATCTTCCTGACAGCTGGGGCTCGTGCCTGACAGCTGGGTCTGTGTGTTAGAAAGAGTTGAGATCTTTAGTAATTAGGCTTGTGTGAGAGCAGTTAGGCCAATTAGCTCTTCATGTGGACATTCATTTTAATTACTAGCCTTTTGGTAGTAAGGGTGGAAAGCAAGTGCCTTTCACAGAAGCGTCTACAGCCACAGGAACATGTTTTTATTGGGGATGGATCAGCAGTCAGATTCAGAGTCTTCCAGTTCTTCTTATCTGCTCTGTATCCTCCCTGCATTAGTCTGACTTTTCCTGGAGGCATGACCTTGAATTGGGAAATGCTGTGGTTGGATATACAAATTTGCGGAGGAGTGAAATACCTGATGGGACTCTATTTGCAGGGGAGATCCCATACAGGTCTGTATTTACTGTGGAGTGTTGGGTGAGGAATCTTTCATAGGTCTATGTATGGTGGGGCTAGGAAAGGGGATCCTTGACTTTAATTATATCTACACTGTAGCTTGGTGCAAGCTTTCCAGCCTAGGAAGACATACTTTTACTAGCAGGACTTGACCTAGTGTACTGATGATGGTGTGGATGTTGTGACTTGGGCTCTCAAGCCCATCCAACTCCATAGAACTCCAGCTTCAATGGCAATGTTCGTTCTGTACTCATGCTAGCTCGAGTTCTGCTAGCACAAGTTTGTCTACCTGGGCTGGATGACTTGTTCCCAGCTGCAGTGTAAACATACCCCTTCAGGCCTGTGAAGATTTTTGATAAGGCCTATATTTGTGGGGTTGTGTTTGGAAGGAAAGGGTCCCTGTTATTCCTTACTGTGGGTATGAGGAGTTTTGGACAGTCAGTCCCATGAGTGGAGAGGAGCTGAGCACCTAACAGCTGGGTATATCTGTGTTTCTCATGGAAAGAAATCCTTATGCCAGCCTGTGTCAGAAGAGATAAGAGAGGTAGCTACCTAGTATTCTAGACTGTGTTAAAACTGGCAGAATTAATCTCTGGCAATCTGTTCTATTTGGTTTGACAAGGGGAATCTCTAAAAGATGAGCCTGTGTTTAGGAAGAATCCCAATCCCAGCAAGATTATGGTTGAGGGGACAAGGCACTTCAGATGGTGTTTAGTTGGGGTTGGGGATGTTCCCTTCTTAAGCCTGTGATTGGTGGCCAGGGAAACCTTAATAGTTTATTGTATGTTTTAGAGGACAGTTTATTGTATGTTTTAGACAAAAATGTGAGGGGCTTTCTGACCAACTGGTTTTAAGTTTGGGATTAGTAAACTCTTATATTTTAGGGATAAAATATATTATTTTTGTTGTGTAACATGCAGTGTGGAGTCATAGGAGTCTCTGTCTGCTTGTGTTTGATGGATAAGGTTTTTTGAAAGTGGGATATTTGAATTCCAAGGATCCCTTATGGTTGTGCCTGTATTTTGGCAGGAATTCTCTTCCAAGTTTTGTGCTGGAGATGCGGATTTCTGTTGTGCAGGCCCATGTTTCAAGTTTAAGATCACTAACAGAGATGCTTGTGCTGTGGGCAAAGGAAGTGGAAATCCTGAGTCAGGTCGGGGGGCATGTGTGGAATACTTCACTATGTGGCTTGTGTTTGTGGTGCACAGAGCGGGATCCTGGCAGTAGGACATGTATTTGAAA